TTTTCTATAAATATTTTCATGGCAATTGTTATAATGAGTTTCATTGGACAAGTGAGCATTAAATGTACGTAGTATGAGTTTCGTGGATATCATATCCACTCTTCTTGATCTTGATAGTAAAATTCAATTTATTTACAAATTTCTGTAAGTATATACAATTTAACTATTAAGCGCCTTCAGGACTAGATACCATATCTGCGAAACTCCGAATATGAACAGATAAGTTGAAAAACAGATATGAATATGCTTAATGTAACAGTTATCGGCGAGGGAAAGGAAATCGACGTTTTCCGGTCTCATTTGTTCACTTTGCGTTAATGCCCTTGGAAAAGGCATGAACCCACTTCTTCTCGCTCAGCTTGAATTTAAATAGCGGGACAAAACTTCTAAATTAAAAACCGCAGAGAAAGCAATGAGAAAATCACTCCACTATCTCCCCACTACCATCCCGCCAAAATATATTTTATTGACGTCATAGAAATGTTCACACCGATTCCAATTGTGTTCTAACGTGTGGGCGTATCATTAAATATATCATTTTGGCTGCTCGTGAATTATCGGAGTTCGAACGGGGCATAATACCTGTGCTAGACGGATAGGATATACCATTTCTGAAATTGTGGACATATCTGAAATCAATCGATATACGGTGTCACGTGTACTGTGTATATTTGATGGAGAGTACTACTGTCCTCCACCTTCGCCACTGTGGAGAGTGCAGTCCTTAATGATTGGGACCAGAGACGTCTGGTTAGAATCAGCTGCAGGGACAGACAAGTGAAATTGGCTCAGTTCCCATCTACATTCAATGCAGACGCTATCAGACGCTTTACCCTGTGTGTCAGTTCAGTGTTATTAACTTCTATGAAGTATGTTTCTGCTAACACCACGACACCAGACACAGACTCATCTGGATTTAGGACATCTCTGATTTGATCCTGTAGGACTGTCAACGTGTAGCCTGGTGTGATGAGTCACGGTTCCAGTTGTTATGGGCTGATGGATACCAGTTGTTAACAGACTGGCAGTGGTTCAGAATGGTGTTGGGTGTGTTCTCGTGGTATTGAATTGGTTCGTTTAAACATGTCATTCCCCTGTGACCGTTATATAACATTGTTTCATGAGTTTTTGCACACATCCAGTAACCCTATTTATCCTAATAGCATTGGATTAGTCCAGTAAGTATTCCAGATTGGTTTGAGGAGCCCTCTGGAGACTGCCGACGTAGTATGACTACTATATTCACCAGGTTTTAGCCCAATCTAGCACTGATGGAGCAATTTACTAACGGTTAATCAGACTAGCGCGTCAGCCATAACCAATCTCGAAAAGTTCAATGCAGAAAAAGATTTTTTAATTATTTCACTTCAAGCAAGGCGTAAAGCCACTAAGATGTGAAAGAAACTGAGAAAATGTTATTGAGGACAATAAAAAGAATATAATTCAAGGAAACAGAAGTTGACGCTTGAGGTTGAATTAAATTTTTTGAATATTGTAATTGACAGGAAAGTGAGAAACCGGAAGGGAGTTTCATGAGCGAGAATTGCGAAAGGAGAAACTGTTAGCATAGAACTTGCGGTTGCATCTATATCCACTTCAACAGTAAAATGATGGGGTCTAACTGCCAATCTAGTACTGAACTTAAATTCATGAAGTCAAGGCACCAAAGATGAAAGCTCATCAGAACAATTACCACGAAAATATTTAGAGAAAAGTCGCAAGGAAGCTAAAAAAAAAAAAATGATTCAAAATAATTGAGACTGAGATGGAACATCTTTGGATTTTGTCAAGAATCTCTAGAAGTATAGCAGAAGCACCAGACCAGATGTGGCAACTAATCAACGCATAGACTAATGGCAGACTTATAAATGTATAGGGTAGGTTTTTTGCGAGAAAAAAAATGTCTAGAATGACACACTGAACAAACTTTGCTAGCAGCCGACCTAGCAATTGGTTCGATATACCGTATTTTCCGGCTTACAAGACGCTGCAGCTTGGAAGGCGAACTGTAATATTGGAAAGACATTGTTAAGAAAAAAAAGTCATTCTCATACAACAACACATTCACCATGCATCCCTCACATACTGGCGCCATGTATTGTTTACATTAATCACTTGTCCGATTTTGTTCGTATGGCAATGACATATTAGTCAAGGTCAGAAAGGCTCCCATCACTGCTCGTAAACGGAGCATGTTTATGATTGTGGTTCGACTCCAGGAAGGTTTATAGACTTGGAAACACTTATAACAGATAAGTACTGAGGTTTACATCATGTAAGTGGCTGAGTTAGATAGATAGCTAACATTATAGTGCAATGACTCAACATAAAAATCCACGTCCCTATCAGTCAAGCCAATTAGGCCACCGTCCAAGCTTACTTGAGCCTGGGTGTTACCTTACATTCATCTTAGAAGACGCACACGTATTTTTCAGGGTATTTTTTATGAAAAAAAATGCGTCTTGTAATCCGGAAAATACAATAATTATTCCACTTCGTGTCAGCGGAAAACGTTGGATCAAAAAGACGCAATGAAGGTTAGCATCATGAAAAATACAACGAATAATAAAGACTATAATAATCGAAAGGAAACACATTTAAGTTTGATGTAAAAGGATATAATATATTTATGCAAATATATAACCGGATCTAAATGCTGCCCATTTACCTACAAAACAGTATTACGGAAGCGTGGAGATTTGTGGAATCAGATATGAATTAATATATTTGTTATGATATTACTAATAATAGCCATCTTCTTTATACACTGGGATTAACATTTTAACAAATATGTTCTTTACAGCGAAGCGATCTCGAGAAAACTATGTCCTAACAAGATTTACTATTGGCAGACACAATATTTACATGGTGCTGATGACAGTATGTTGGTAGCAGACACATAAAAGAAACTGCAGGAACTCCTCGAGAATATAGTAAAGGAAAGTGAGAATAAGGGGCTAAACATTAAATATTAAGAAGACAGGATGTTTGGTTGTCAACAAAAATGACAACCAAAGATATGAACTATAAATTGGAGATGCCAAAATCAAGCAAGTACGAACATTTAAATATTTGGAAAGTGTTTAAAAGACGTTAAATGTGACTTCGAAATGAAAAGGAAACTTGAGACAACTGAAATGGGTTTTACAGAAGAATGCTGAGAATAACAAGGACGGAACATTTAAGTAAAGAGGAAGTTTTAATGAAAACGGAAACAAAAAGGACACTTTTACTTAGAATCAGACTGTTGAAATTTCTGGAGTACACGATGAGGAAAGAAGCTTTGGAGAATTTGAAACTTACGGTACATACTGAAGACAAAAGGTGCAGATGAAACAACGAGTTGCCAACCTAACGATCTTGTATCAAAGAATAAAACAAGGACTGGGAGGGATAGTAAGAGCAAACAACAAGGGATATGAAGGTGTGGAGAGTCGTGATCGCACTCGTCCTGAAAGGACAGTAGAGGAAATGCTTCCTTTGATTTTTTCTTTGTTCTTACGGTGAACACAGCAAAATATTCTGAGAGCAAATGTGCATATTTTGTTTCTCTAACAACGAAATAGATGTAAAAATAATTCGACATGTCAGTGCATAAACAATTATTGATTCTGTTGCCACCATAATGCTTTCTATTGTTTTCGGGTTCTGTTTATTTCTCTTTCTCTTGTAATAATTCCATTTTCAACCATTTTACATTCCGGTTTCATAAATATCTTGAAGCAGTCAGTCATTTTTATAAAAACAACACTGATATCGACGCCACAAGGGACATAATTCTGTCAACATTACAAGTTACAAACATTACAGACAAAATATACAAAAAACAGTGACTCCTAACTTAACAACCAAGTTTTAACAACCTGAGAAGTAGTATCCGACCACAATTTTGGCACACAACGCGTGTAATGAATCTGTGTCAACTAGCATCAGATGGGTTTAATGTCACTTTAACACGAATTGTCTCGAAAATTACAGAGAGAGAGAGAGAGAGAGAGAGAGAGAGAGAGAGATATATATATATATATATATATATATATATATATATATATATATATATATATATATATATATATATATATATATATTTGCAGTATAAGCACCAAAAGCTCCCGGTATTGAGAATGCACCATTCTGGTGTAAAAATGCCTGATTATTTCGAAAATGACATTAAAACATTGTGCTCGATTACCGTTTAGAAATTATGGACAATGCGCGAAGCATAAAATCCGACAATTAAACTAAACTAAAATAAACATTTTCTACCTGAAAAGAAAAAAAAGATTCTTTTCCTTTTTTTTTTTAACGATTTATTTTGTTTTTCATGTGTCGTGAAAGTTTCTTGAATTTAAACTAAAGCTTCGTAAATTACATTTTCGGGTGAGATTCTGTTTCATTAGATATAAGCAAATTTAATACGGATAATAAAGAAAAAATACTATTCATTTAAAACTTCATTTAAAAAAAATAAGCGCATTTTAAAATAACATCCGCAAAAATTGCGCAGTAATCAAGACGAGTAAGATACGAAAAGCTGTAAAAAGGCCGTTAACTAAGTAAGCTTCCACACATTACAGCTAAAGGAAAACGTATGTAAACAATGCCAGTAATGGCGGCCGGACAACACGAAAGAGATCGAACTTATATTGACGATAAATCGAAAACGGTAATCGAGCGCAGTGTTTTAACGTTATTTTTTAAATAATTAGGCAATTTCACATCAGAATGGTACATTCTCAATACCGTGGGCTTTTGGTGCTTATACTGCAAATTTACCAAATAAAAATTATTTAAAAATAAAATTTATTTAAAAAAAACAAAACAAAATGAAATAAAATTTATTTAAAAATAAACCAAATTAAAAAAACCCCAAAACAACAGCTTAATAGTTTAATACATTACTCCGTTTTGCATGCTGTTAATAGCTAATACAATGCATGTAATGTTTTATTTATTTTTCACTTTATTTATTTTGGTTTGTAGCTGAGATCAGTAGAGTCATGTGTCCAGCAACTCCCAACATTAGTTCGTTGAGCGGTTACGAGAGCAATGCTACATGTTGTTTACAACTTTCCGCAGCACCCGACAACATCAGAATGTTTTGTTGATACGGTCTTGTTCATTTCTTAGATATAGTTGCATTCAGGATACCCTCCCCCGCCAAGAGAGCAGGAGGTGCAGATGATGCTGCCAGAGGTAAGAAGTGAAAGCATGAATCTTTATCTCTGCTTAAAAGGGTAGAGTTACCGAAGAAATTAAAGAAAGAAACGTCTGTAAAGACCGTGTTTGAGTCATATAGCATCAGATCATCTGTTGTGTAAGAATTAAAGAAACAAAGCGAGCTGATATTAAACTTTTTTTTTATATACTGAAAATGAAAGCCAGCTTTGTTTGAAGTGTTGGAATATATTGAAAATATCAGAATTAAACGGTGAGATCATAAAGAGGTGTTAAGCTCCGACGTAGCGAAGGTGGAAGCATTTCCGGGGAAATGCTTATGAAGTAGGCCAGAATTTTCATAAGGAATTCGACTTGTCGTATGAGAGTGATTATTCGTGCAAATGGTTACACAAGTTTAAGTGGAAACATAGCATTTCTTTTCATAGTATAAGGTTGAAAGGCATACTGCTAACTCGGAAGCTGCAGCCAGAAAATTTTTCGGATGAACTTTGACTCTGATTTCTGTCATTCCGTATTTTCAGTAGTCTTGTAATAACATGGCGTCAAAGATGTCGGATTAAACACGTTGGACTGTATAAAAATAGAACATTACCAATGAGACTCGCTTTCCTTAACATCAATGATATCGCTCAACTTTCCCCTTTTACGTATGCCAGGTGTCTTCAAGACGTAGATGATCATGCCTCTCCACAGATTCCTTTTTCTTTAGAATTTGTGAATTGCCATGTCTTCATGGGAAAGAGAGTTGATGTTGCCTTCTCTACAGTTACGAGTTTTCCTTCTCTTAGACATTGCCACCCAACGTAGAGACGTCAGTCTACCTTGCCATTTATCCCTTAAGTAGAGGCGGAAAGGAACGATTCACGCTTTTCCCGAGGGCATTAGAGCAAAAAGTAAATGTAACAGACTAGCCTAAAATTTGAACTCTGACTGCCGAATCCATTTTCGCTCCTGTAACAGTTACACTACTCGCACAAGTAGACCTGCGGTGATGGTGTACGAGTTGAAGAACAAATCCAATGAAAATGAACGCCCCATTCCATGCAGAAGGTGCATGTAAATTGGTATAACTACAGGGCAATATTTAAAGAAGTGAAAGGGTACAAACGAAAAATGTTTCTATTTCATGAGATCTTTCTTTCTTTCATTCTTTTTCTCACTGAAACCAATTAGCGTCTTGTCTTTCCTTTTGATCAAAACTGAATAGTCCATTATTTATTAGTAGGGCGGAACGTATCTGTTGACTAAGAAGCAAACAGAATTACAATATGATGATAACCCCAAAAAACTAAAAAATAAAGATTAAAAAAAAGAATATGCTAGAATACAGACACAGAGACACACAATGAAAAATGAGGATAAAAGTTATAGGAGGAAGGATTTTTATAACGAAAGCATTTACAAACGAAAATAACCTGGATAAATAAGACATTTGCGAATTTTAATTCTGTGAAGACTGCAGCGAAACTCGATCGCATATAATTAGAGAATACAGTAAATAAACTTAGAAAGAATATAAAAATAGACAGAATTGGGAGTGAACGGTGATATACGGGGAACGTTGCAAACGATTAGGATTTTACCGCACAAACAAATGGTATATGCAAAAACAAAAAGTGAACGGAGAAAGATAAAATTTATTAGTAATCATTTTGTAACGATAAAATTAACACAGCTTGTCTATGCTAGGGAACTTCTCTTAATGCAAATAGTGGCGTGGTAACAAGCGGTATAAGAAGGACAATAAATAAATATTTTCGTTTTTCCCAAATCAGCACCGTCTTGTTTCCGTCCTCCAAAACCACGTGGCCTATACACACACACACACACTCTCTCTCTCACACGCACACTGCAGCTAATCTCTTTAATATAATTTCTCGCTTTATAAAGGGTGAGGAAAGATATCTTTATTCTTATCTTTTAATGACCCCTGAGGGGTCATATCTTTCCTCACCCGTTCTCGGACCAATCTTAATTGTTTTATTACCCTTCACTCAGAACTTTCTCACTGCCCGTTCAAGAAAGACATTTGTGTCACTGCCACACAAAAAAGAGAATGTTTAACATCGAAAAACATAAGGAAAATTAATTCATTTTAATAATATATGGAAATATCCACTCTTTGCTTGAAAAGGGTCGCGAGACCGGAAACACTTGAAGCAAAATTATGGAAATAAAGCATAATACATATTAAAAAAAAAATCCACATTACAACCAAAAACGTTTGCAGTTTGTCTCTTCTTTTTAATATATATATATATATATATATATATATATATATATATATATATATATATATATCAATGCCAACTCCATGGGAGGGGGAGGTCTGAACCCTACTTGAGCTGGAAACAAACATAACAGGCAATGTATTTCTTGCTTTAATTTTATAAATAATCTTTTTAAAATTTCTAATGATTTGTATACCCTGTTTTTAAAAGAACACATTGTTATTTCAACTTATTGTTTCCTAATATCCATTTTAAATAATTTATTCTATAAGTTTTTTTTTCTTTTTAGCGGAATGTATCTTTTGAGAAAGGCCAAATTAAATTTAGCCAGATTTCAATTCGGCGAAAATCAAAGAAAGTGACAGCCTTAACTCGTAGGCTGGAGTGTTGACTGGGGTAGTGTTGAGGAAATATGATATCAATCAGTAGTACTGATCATAAACGGAGAAAAAATTACACTAAAAATTCACAAAGAGATACATAAACACAGTAACGCATAGACATATATACAAACACACACTCGAGATATTTAAAAAAAACATATGGCTAAAGATTTTTTAAAATATATTTTAGTTAGAGTAATAAAGGAATCATTTTAGCATCTAAGTTATGCCAATAGCATATTTTGTTAAAGATTGTAATGAGCCCAATGACATTAATGACCAAGTGTCGTCACTGATATATATATATATATATATATATATATATATAGAGAGAGAGAGAGAGAGAGAGAGAGAGAGAAAGAAAGAGAGAAATAGAGAGAGATAGTGAGTGATTGAGATAGATAGATAGATAGATAGATAGATAGATAGAGAGAGAGAGAGAGAATTTTTTTCGAGACTGAACACGAGTAAAACAAATTCACAGATTTGGACAAAAAGGAAAAAAAAACAAGAATGACGTGAAAATTCGCTAAAAATTTCATCCTTTAAGTCAGATATGCTTAGTTTAATTTGTAACGTATCTAAATATATGTAAGAAAAAAAGCAAATGTTGATAAGATAGCGAGGGTCACAAAGGACGGCACGGGGTGGGTACCCAATCAGGCTGCCCAACGGTCGGAGATTTCGGGAGTTGTACGTGCCGGCCCTGCCTTCAGGTATTCCTCCTTCACATTTTCTTTGAACAAAATATAAAATTTTTATTTATACATGAAATACAGTACATACATTTTTTCTTTTTGCTTCTGCCTTAAATCTCACAGTAGCATCACTTTTCACGGCTTTTCAAGTGTATATGAAGTGAGGATTATCGGTAGATGAAGTGTAAACGGTTCAGTTCAAAATTCCCTGAAAGTTACCTGGACAGCTGAAGAAAAATGGAGATCACAACAGCTGAAACGTCGTGATAATAATAACAACATTTAACAAAAATATGGTAAGGACATTGGTCTGAATGTAAATAGCTCCTTATTCCAAATATTAAGACAGGAATAATGAAGTTAGAAATTCAGTTTACTTATCCTTGTATAATCAATGAAATCAAATCAACCCCGCAAAAAAGAAACAAAATATTACTAGAAAAACTAGCCAAACAGTGAATATACGCCACACCCTCAATTTTTTTTTTTTACTTTTTTGAGTTTTGGCCCACGAAAGCTTTGTGCGTACTGAGAAAACATGTCATTTAACGTCCAGCAAAAAGAACATCAGCTACTATTGTTTGGGAAAAAAACTCATTAGTGAAAACTACTACTACTACTACTACAAATAATAATAATAATGATAATAATAATAAATAGTAACAATGTTGTTGACGATGAAACGTAATAATATTTGCGTTGTTCTAAAATTCTTTGAATAAAATTTAAAAATAAATACCTACAAAACTGAACCATGCCAACCATTCCTGTAAAAAATTATTGTTTCTGATTCAAAATTCAATTTTTTTTAATCAAAGCAGTAAAACCAATTACCTACCTATGTCTATTCTATTCACATCTATATTCATATCTATCTATCTCTATACATATCTATCTATATTCATCTATCTATCTATCTATATACATATCTATCTATATTCATCTATCTATCTATCTATATACATATCTATCTATATTCATATCTATCTATCTATATACATATCTATCTATATTCTTATCTATCTATCTATACACATATCTATCCATATATTCATATCTATCTATCTATCTATATACATATCTATCTATATTCATATCCATCTATCCATCCATACATATCTATCTATATTCATATCTATCTATCTATCTATATACATATCTATCTATATTCACATCTATCTATCTATCTATCTATATACATATCTATCTATATCCACATCCTATCTATCTATCTATACATATCTATCTATATTCACATCTATCTATCTATCCATCCATCTATATACATTCATCTCTCTATTCATATCTATCTCTATTCATATCTATCTATCTCTATTCCACATCTATCTCTATTCATATCTATCTATCTATCTATCTCTATACATATCTATCTATATTCATATCTATCTATCTATCTATCTCTATACATATCTATCTATATTCATATCTATCTATCTATCTCTATACATATCTATCTATATTCCATATCTATCTATCTATCTCTACATATCTATCTATATTCATATCTATCTATCTATCTATATACATATCTATCTATATTCATATCTATCTATCTCTATACATCTATCTATATATATTCATCTCTATCTATCTATCTATCTTCATATCTATCTATCTATATTCATATCTGTCTATATTCATATCTATCTATCTATCTCTATACATATCTATCTATATCTATTCAAATCTATATTCATATCTATTTATCTATCACTATTCATATCTATCTCTATACATATCTATCTATATTCATATCTATCTATCTCTATACATATCTATCTATCTCTGGGACATATCTATCTATATTCATATCTATCTATCTATCTATCCATCTATCCCCCCATACATATCTATCTATCCATCTATCTCTGACATATCTATCTATCTATTTCTATCTATCTATCTATCTATATATATATCTATCTATCTATCTATCTATCTATCTATTTATCTATCTATCTATCTCTATACTATCATCTATCCCTCTATCTATCTCTATACATATCTATCTATCTATCTATCTATCTATCTATCTATCTATCTCTATACATATCTATCTATCTATCTATCTCTATACATATCTATCTATCTATCTATCTATCTATCTCTATCTATCTCTCTATACATATCTATCTATCTTCTATCTATCTATCTATCTATCTATCTATCTACTTTCTATCTATATACATATCTATCTATCTATCTCTATGATATCTATCTATCTATCTATCTATCTATCTATCTATCTATCTATCTATCTATCTATCTCCATTCATATCTATCTATTTTTTCTTGGTCTCAGTCTATGCCAATATTGAGCTGA